AAAGTTACGTTGCGTCTCCCCGGGTGTGTTTCCCCCCTGACATCATCAAATCCTCAATTCTCATCAATTTGTAACAATCTCCAAAACATATTTGGCGTCCTATCACATTATCCTGAATAATGTGATGAGTGAATCATAAAACCATTCAAATAGGAAGTAAATTTAATTGCAGGTATCCACTTATTTTTAAAGACGTCTACTCCGTAGTCGGATTTACAACCAATAAATCAGATTTAAAGCCGTGAAAAAAATATCAATTTGTTGTTGCTTACAGATAACAGACCGGTGTTAACGAAACCAAACAAACTCCGTAATCCTATTTCAGGGAACCAATTTCAGCATAATCCAGTTCAAACATAACAAGATTAAATATCTGTATGGGCTCAAACGAAATGCAAACAAAGTGAGAAAACAAAAATATATTTAAAAGGGCAATCTCTGAAAAGATTTAATCGGAAATAATTAAATTTGTAGTTGCTAATGTTATCTTGATTGCTATATTGACATACTATATTCACTATAATGATTATTTAATCGGGGAAACTACGTATAAAAAACGGACCTTGAAGAAGAGCCTTACCTACTACAGGAAAAAATCAAAGGCCTTCTCATACCATATTTGCATCTTAGTCTAAGTATTTTTCACATATTCAAAAACATTTCATAGAACCTATGGATGTAAAAACGAAAAATTAATGCGACCAACAAAAACTTGGTTGGTTCTTGAAATTCCCCTTTTACTAAAAAGCAACTCAATTTCCTTAAACATTTAATTTTGTGTACGGCGCTTTAGAAAATATTTCAATAACCAGCCTCGCTTTAGATTAACAAGTTTCTTAGATAAATAATTTTAAAAGTACACGGAGTTTCTGAACTAAAGTAAAGAACTTCATTTAACTACTTTTAAGTACAGGATTGGAGGTTTAAAGGCTTCTTTGAAACAGTTTTTAAATTAGTTACTTTATATAGGTCTTTTTTAATAGGTCAGTGATTTCAAATTCTGTGTAGATTATTAAGGAAGAGATTGTACGTATTTAGGATGATATATTCCATGATTTTAATGCCTATTAACCTGGTAGAAGGGATACAGAGCTTTATTTAGCAATAAATTATGTTTGTTATGTTCTGCAAAAATTTGTCATTCTGCAGCTGCAGCAAATGGTCACTATAGCTGATCCTGATCACCTGAGATCAAACACTACGAATACAATTATTATTAAGGTCAACACACTTTATAAAGCTGTTATTTTCAAAAAGAGACAGGGATTTGTAAATACAGCAAACCAACTCATGGTATCCATCGGCAAAATATACCTGCATGTTGCCAAAATCGATGCTGACCTTGAGTTTAATGAAGCAGATATTAAAAAAGTTAAATATCATATAAAATAGTATAATGGTTCTAATGCAGAACTAGATGTGCTCCTAGTACAAACTGAGAAGAGCTGTCACATTACAATCATTTGTTAATACTAACAATGCAACCGAAAGAAAAACTGCAAGAGCATGCGTGAACGTATGCCAGTATTGTTGGCAATGACACAGTCTGAATACTAGGGTAACATGGCATGAACGATTGTCGCCGCATTTTCTTTTACGATAGAAAGGTCGGAAACGTGACGTATAGTTGGAGTACTAACTTATACAGAGAATGTTTTACATTGTGTTCTGAAGTTGAGATGTAAATTGTTTTTATTGAATTTCCGGGAAACATCATAGGTTCAAATGCTAATACTAAAGTAAAGGGCGAGGAGTATAAGTGTGCTGGATAAAATTAAAACTTTAAAGAGACATTAAATAAGATTTCGTTCGTTAAAGGAGATTCGGTAAGATTGTGTGATTATAAAAATGTTTTTAAATTTGCTATCTTTGCGTTACGTTAGAATTGTGGTTTTACAAGAACGTGACCAGCAAATTAAAACATATTATTTTTAATACAACATTTAAACATTTTCTTTTCATTAAATAAGATATTAATACTTAATCTAGTAATCAACTACTTTAAATATGTGCTATCACACTTGCGATGCAATGATGAAAATTTTAATACACCTCTTAAATCCCTGGTAAATAAATGAGCGAAAACTAGTGTAAATGGGTAGGTTCACGGAAATGTAACAGGCTTGTAATAGAACGGACGGACGAAACCTTATACGGGGCATGTTGTTGGGTAAAATATTGCAATAACGCTGGATACATAGGAAGCCATGATTTCGCTTTTAGATACCATGTCGATACTGATTGAGGATCAACAAAGATAGATTTAACTATATGTACATCGGCTTTATATCAAACTTTGACTTCTAACGCCTAATAAACGAATTACAACAAATGGCTCTGATTGAGCCATTTTAATGTTGTGCATTCACTAGTAGCAAACCCTTTCTAAAAATTAACTACTATATTTAACTTATAACAGCTGAGAAAAAGTAAACGCCGACGAGTAAAATTAAAGAAGAATATGAGTAAAAACAGCAGTAACGTAAACTATAAATGTATCCACGGCGATAACAAAACAAAAGCATAAATAATGTTCTACAGAGGGAAGCGGGTTCAAAATCGATAGCCTGAAGCGATCCCGGTATTGTAATCCAAATTACCGTTTACCGCCTACGCCTCGGTCCAGACGCCCACGGCTCAGCATCGAGGACCTATATTCCGAAGCCTTCATTTAGGATTGTAGGCATTGCTTTTAGATAATGTATTTTGTAAGATCTTCCATGAATTTTGTATTATCCTGATTTAGGAATATGACTTTTAAGTGTTTACTAGTAGGAACCAGTATTTCATCTATAGTTTTGTGTTTGTCTCATACTGACATTGTATCTGTCTTTATTACTTTTTGTTAAACTAGGTAATAGTCAATCTTACTCTTCAATGTTATTGTCTTTGGATCACCAATGACAAAATGTATGTGGGTCCGAATTACTGGGCCTACTGTAAAAATAAAAACTTCTTGAAATTCTTAATCTATAGTCAACTTATAACATACACCGCTTAGCAAACATGCAATCAGCTTCATACTTACAAGTTTTTCCGCGTGTGTTGTTGTTGGCAATTATCTGCCACCGAGGTGAGGAAAATCTCGACTTAATTATACATTCAAAACGTGCGCTATGACCTGACAACTACATGCTTAGTTCGTCACGTGTGTTCTAGCTAATTTTCTTACACGGCTTCGTGAGATGAGCCTAAGTATAATTAACAAGCCCTTCTGAATGAATATTCATCATACTTCTGAATTTTCGGTATGCCCAATTATTGGTTATTTTTCTAATGCCTTTAAATATTATATGTGTTTTGCACATTTGCTTCTTTTCTATAGTTACAAGTAGCGATCTTGTAGGGTCAAAGTTTATCGACTAGATTTATAGCATTTACTTGAGTTATTGCTGATGTTGCTATAATATTTATTGGTGTTTCCACAGCAAATATTGTACCAGAAAATTTGTCAGCACTTAAACTAGTAATAGTAGCATTAGAATTCAGATCACATAATGTCTCAAGGCTAGAACTATCAGGTGTCCAATAAGATTAGGTACATATCCGATATTTATCGCGATTTTTTTTCTAGAACTTTTTTGGATTAAGCGTTTTGTGAGGAAACTGGGATATATTGGGTCATGGACATCTTCAGATGAGATTCATTTTGTAAGGATGACCTTAAGGTATAAAGTTTTAGTAAGGTCATGCGGATAAAAAGGATATTTCGAACACCTCGCATTTAGTACTCAGAGGTAACTCAAAAAGGAAAATTACAAAGCAAAAAGCCAAGTAGGTACAATGTACAAATCAAGGAATGTTTTTAAAGGACAGAGAAGTAAAACAACTCAATATATCAGATTTATGCTAAGTACCTTTTTCTGGGGTAATTTCTTTGAGATCTACATTCATATTCACTAAGTGGAACGACCTTAAGATTAAGAAATGCGTATCGATTAGAATGTACGTGAATGAGATGCAGATCAATGCATAAAAACAAGCAAAAGTTTTACTTTTTATTATTAAAGCGACTATTCATTATTAAATATTTGCAAGGCTGAGTATCTTTTGAAAAAACAAAGTTAGTAAACGACGTTCTAATACGAAGTCACATTGCTGTGTCTATAAATTCCACCTCTATATTGGTTACCACCAATATAGAGATTCCTGACTAAACTGTATTATTTGTTAATGATATACTAGAAGCAAAGAATAATGTTGATGTAACCGAAAAAGTGACTGCACTGGAAGACAATAGAAAAACATGCGACTCAAGAGAGTAATTCAAATATCCATAAACATAAACCTAATTGTTCACGACTGTGAACAGTCTCCCAGTACTTAGTCAGTCTCACCGTAATGGGGACAGATCTCGTACAATAACTATATGAATGCATTAAACCCTAAAGAAAAACAAATAAAAGTAAGTAATACTGATGATACAACACTAAACTATTACGGCTCACAAAACGTGCTAAATGTATTAAAGCGACATTTCACATTTCTACATAGTCTCGGGTTATAACTGCCTATTTAGAAAGTTATAAGCACAGGTAACTTCACGTCCCTAACATTTAAAACGACGAGGTAGCGTGCCCTCACCCAGTGAAGGGTTTGACTTGAATGTTAAGAAGTTACTCAAGTTTTTTTCTCCCTTCTAAACTCCTCGCGTTTCTCGGAACATCCCTAGAGAAAGGTCGACGAACGAATAGTCTCACGTTTTATCATCAATATTTTAATATCTCCGAAGGCCAACAAAAGAATAGGCATAATAAAAACAGGAATTTAATAAAGATTATATTTCGTCATTTTGCCGAACGACCGGCACTAGTTCGTCGTGAATCAAGGAATTTGTTATTCAAAGTCTTGTCCTTTAGATTCTCATCACAACAACGCATAAAAACTACTATCATCATACGTAATTATCCGTCAGTAAATTGTAATAACAAAAACATCCTTTATACTATTCAAACGTAAATCGCAACCGCTACTACAAAAAAAACAGCAATAAAAATTACCTTTCAACTTTTACGTGAAAAGCCAATTATGTCGACACGCAATTCAGTCAAATCCAATTCACTAATATTACAATCATTCACACAACACAAAATTCAATACATATTTTCTAATGCCGCGTCGCGATATGAAACACTACGGCACGAACCACACGTCCGTACGGTTTGCGCGCCAAACCGCGACTGGCAGGCTGCGTTCACAGCAGGTCCACCGGCGACGAACCTCCACCAATGGACCGCCTCTATTTACCATATATTATGATAATCCACTTGCATTACTAATTTATTACATAGAACAATACCGATGCATTATACGGAACCGGTAATGTATTATGCACCAAATTAAATTGCTTAATTAAATGCCGCAAGCGAATTTTAATGATTCCGTCGATTGGTTAACACCGTAATGACGAGGAAGCACTAGTTTCACGGGGCTTTAAAATTTATCATCTGATCTAGATGACATAATGGTTTCTATAGAACAATGGGGTGAGCCTGTTAATGTCTTGTATCTTAAAAAATGTTTTAACAATAGAGAATAAAGCTTAGATCTCGGAGCGAATGAATGCATTAGAAAAATATAATGAGTAAGGATTTCCCATAGCAAGAATCTCAGTGAATACGGAAACTGGGTACGTATTTGAAGATATTTAACACAATGCTATTTCGACTGTATCTAAATTGAAGTGTTATAGAAACTTGATACTACATCTGCAATAGAAGAAAAATATCACATTGCGTGGCTGTCTGTTTCTGTAAGAACCGTATCGCGTTCGAACACTAGAGTAAAAGTGTTTTGGCGCTAACTCTATGCGGTGTCCCTGACCTGGTTATACAGCCTTCGTGTTTTATGCTAGCCTAGTACTTCACAATGCAGACTAGACCTGAATGATATATGAAAAAGCTTAAAAACAAATGGGAAAAGAAAAGCAATGGTCGAATTTGTAATTAATATTAATAAAATAAAGGTTGATATCTTTTTATATGGAATTAAAAACAAAAAACTATATGTATATAATAAAATGTCATGATACGATATTTTTTTACATAGCACGCATTAGTATATAGGATATCCTTTTATTGAGTTTTCGAGCCTTTGTTTCAAAAAGCGTATATTTTATCTAAGCACGTAATTTAACACAAAATTGTTAATAAAAGTATTTATTGTATTTAATCTATATTGGTGTAGTTATTTCACAAAATCACTTATCTTCTATGTAAATGTAACAGGCTACGTAGCATCATCCATAGATATTAGGATGACGTCAAAGCCGGAGCTAATCGTCGTAATCCGTCCGCCTACTGTGACATTCTAAAGGCATGGGTATTCACGAGAGAAGCGGATTAGAATCGCTGGGACAGAATTGGCTGACTGGCCACCTTTGTAGATTTACTTCGTAATTCCGGCCATTGCAAATGTCAACATGCGTGCAGGCTGACACGTTATTCGGATCCAATTCCTGCTCAGCGAAACTGGGACTTAATTACAAGTTGCAAAGCCTGTATTAGGACAGTCTGATTTTGTAATGTGAATCTGTGCGCTTTTGTGTGTATGTACTTTGCTAGTTAGCTTCATTTGTATACTGTTACTTTATGACACTATACTAGCTTTTGCCCGCGACTTTGTTCGCATGTCCTTTCTCGAGTCCAAACTATGTCAGTACCAAATATCACACATATGGGTTCAGAAGTTTAGGCGTGAAGAAAAGACAGACAGCATTACTTTCGCATTTACAATATTAGTTTGGATTTGAATTCTTGTTGCTAACCATGGACCGGTTTTGTCACTTGTATCCACAAAAAATATATTACACTTTTGCCTTTTTTATTTATACATGTAATTTATTACACTGAACTATATCAATCAGTTTAATAATTCACAAAAATATTAAAAATAGCTACATAAATAGGTAATTTTCAAATCATGTTTTACCTAGAGCTAAAATAAACACGCGCCATATTCGGTTTTGTGGTTTTCCCTGAGGAAAATTTTAGTTCTAGAAGGATCCGCCGTTTTCAAAGTAATTGCTTTCAGCTGTATGTATACTTGGCCTGTACTTATATTAATCTAGTTCTCGCAACTCCATGGTAGACTAAACACCTGATTCTTGGTAAGTGGTTTTATCAATTTGACTACATAGTAGGTATATTAAGTACTTTGGGGATGATTTGCGAGGAGTTTATTTGTACATTGTAATTTATTTAGATAACTCCAAGATAAAATAAGATCTATGCTAACCTTCAATTAAGTTTTCGCATCATATGGGTTTAATAAGAGATAATTACTAAATTGTAAATGGAATATTTCAGACCTTCATGTTAAGTATTTTTATTTCTTCTACATGTGTTTACTCAATAATTACAAACAATATTAAAATCTACCTTTCAATAAATCTATTTGGTAATAAAAATCATTTCACCTCATTGGTCACTCAATCACATTTCAGAGAACTTCTGACCTAATTATGGCAACAAATAAAAGTTGAAACAATCTATAGAATGCAGCTACATTGTTTTTATTATCGTTCCGCTTAACTGGTCCTCATAGATCGCTGGCTTCCAGTCTTCCACTACGATTAATTAAGCATTCGGCGACGCTTCAACGGACTCCTGAAACCGTTTGTTTATCGGAGCGGGCGAAAGTTATGCCTGTCTTGTTTTTATGCTTTCCTAGTACCATCGGGCTGGTGGATGCTTGGAAATGTAACTGTATTTCAAGTAACATAGATTCTTAGGATTATTATATGTGGTCATAATGCTGTTTTTATCTGACGTCATCATTTCAAGTTACTTTTCTAAGATTCGAACGGGTTATAGTCTAAGATCCCGCTGCGGGATTGGTGTGCTCATCGATTTTTTGTTTAAAACCAAATTTCTATGTTTATTTATAATTGATAGAATATATATTTACTAGGGTGCCTATTAAAATTTGGCCGCCTTTATTTTTAATTAAGCCTTTGACTGCCGACAGAAAACTGTTGAAGGCAAATCCTCCGCTAACGGAGGTCACCGGTGACCCCCATGGCGCTTAAAATAGGTTATAAACGTATAAATTTATCGAAATCATACCTGTTTACACCTGGCTGCAAAGAGGTGCGGCCAGGTGCGCAACGGCAACCGTGATTTTTTAGAATCTTAATATTAATTACCGTGATGTAGACGTTATTTTATTTAAAAAATAAATAAACGAAATTTTTTACCAAAAATCAATTAAAAATAATGGCGGCCAAATTTTGATAGGCACCCTAGTGAATATATATTCTATCAATTATAAATAAACATAACAATTTGGTTTTGGACAAAAAGTCGATGAGCACACCAATCCCGCACGGGATCTCGTACTATTACAACAAATATATAAAATCTAATCTGCATTCCAGAAGCTATTTACTGTTTTACCATACATTTTTCAGCAATAACATTAGATATGGAGATACACGTGTCTGTAAGACCTTGGCACTACTTCAAAAGGTAAACAAGAGCTTATGTTTTAAACTACACAATAAACCGGTATTGTCCGTTTGGTGCATAAAATCACAGAGACGTGCGTGTTGATCAAACGTTTTGCATATATGAATATTTTGTCAGCCCACACCAGTGAAAACTGTTCGTTACTTACGGGTAAAAAATTAAACAAACTTGCATTTTGCTTTTGAAAAATACAGCAGAATTTTATAGCGGGATGTTTATTCTAGAGTATATTTTTGTTGATCGTTTAATTTTATATTTCGTGCAGTTTTATGTAGGAAGTTGTCGATTTCACAGATCTGTTTACACATTTTTGATATGATTTATTCATCTATTTTAGAGCAAAACTTTTAAGCAGACCATTTTTGGATCATGATTAGAGCATTGTTAACATGTTCACCGACTGCGATCTTAAAATACTTTTCCTTCCTCCGTAGCTTTCATGGTATAGTTTAAAACGTAGGTGTGGTGTGGTGATGGACCGTATATATGAATGTTTTCATCATTTTATCCTTGGTGGATCCAAGATGATGTTCATGATTAGTAATGAATCTAAATTATAAAGACCTCAGTCCCCAACAGAGGGAACCCTGACACAGTTGTCACCGCGACTCTGTAGGAAACGACCTAGTTCACATGATCCACGTGTATAAACTTTTCTACAATTCTTTTTAATGCCGTTGTTGTTTTGTTGTTATAAAGACTGCATTGTGGTTGTTTGCTGCGGCGATTTAACTCTAATTGACATAATTTCAAGTCATCCTGGCTGCATTACGACAAAGACGAGATAACTGTTAAATTGTTTATAAAAGAGAACTCAGACATTTTATAAACTTAGTCTTAATTAGGTAATAGGGTTTTTTTTTAAACTTAGATTTACTAATAGTACTTATAAAAATCAAAAGATTAATCCAAAATTGTAACTGGCACGTTTATGAAATAAATAAATCGACTACACAAACAAAACAAGTGAGAATCTTAACACATGACGCCTGGTCATTTGTGTTTTCTTCGGATGGGAATATGTCCTTATGTCTACGGTATAACCAAGCAACATTCAGTTAGTGAACCAAGTTAAGAGAAGTCCTGCGGAAATTATCGTATGGTCCTTTGCACCTCATTACAAAAACTATTTTACTCTCAATGTTTCCCTCTCAGATTGTTACACATGGCTACAAAATTTTATTACTTTTCCATAGGTAAATATAAATTTGAAGAAATTGACTAGAAGAAATTTCTTTTGTATTGTATATGGAAAATTCTAGAATATAGAAAGACGCGCCGTGATCTCGTTTATTTCACGCCAATGTAAAAGCATGGAATCGATTACCCACTTGAACGCGAATGAAGATATCGATCAAGAGTGTTAGAGCAGATTTCTGAAGTTGCCTAAAGCTATTAATTCCAAAGGTGGATATTAAGCATTTTTTGTTTTAGTGGTTGTAAAATCCTCAATGACTTCTCGCGCTTTCCGAGCCCTTTGATGGAGTTAGGATAAGTATATCTTATCTAATAAAATATTAATAAATTAAAAATTAAAAAACACCCCGACACAAATGACATTAGCTACCTTTTAAAAAGAATATAATACAAAAAAAAACTTAATTGAAATCGTTTCATTCGTTCAGGAGCTATGATACCACAGACCCCTCTTTTTGCGTCGGGAGTTAAAAATCACCCTGTGCTTCTCCTGTTCCAGGCCGGAA